TCTGTTGTGTTTTGTGTACTGTTGTTTATATAAATAAGATGTGGTATGAGTGCCAATGAGACAACTCTCCATCCAAGTCACAATGTATAAAAAGTTAACAATGATAGGTCAACGCACGGCCTTCAACACGGAGCCTTGGCTCGCACCGAAATGCAAACTATGAAGGGCCCTAAATGACTAATGTAAAACAATTTAAACAGGAAAACCAACGGTCTAATCTATATAAAAAATAAACGAGGAACGAGAAACACCTATGAACCACACCAAAAAACGACAACCACTGAACAACAGGCTCCTAACTTAGGTAAGTTGCATACAAATGCAGCGGGTTTAAAGGTTTTAACAGGCGCCAACCTTCACCCTAACCTTAGACAGAAGTGTAACATTACAACATAAAAAGACACACTATAAAATATCAATTGAAATGGCTTAACTCGATCAAAAAGACATTTAAACAAAAACAAGTAAACATACACTGATTCAAAAAAATTTGATCTATGACACAATATAAATACAATACTTAAACGTAGATGCCTATATAACAAAGACGTTACAGGTAGTAATAAAGAAGATGTGTCAATATGACAACTCTTACCTGGGACAAAATGGCGTTAAATAAAACAACGTACACAGGTAAATTTCAATATAATATTTGTTGTTAGGAGTACAGAAGTAAACATGTTTTACAAAATTAATAAATTTGTGGTTCAGAGTACGAATACAGAAGTGAAAATTTATCGTCATGTTAAATACTTTTGAAAAGTGGTACATATTGTAAATAGTGCGACGAGATATAACACAAAATAAGTAAACATTGAATACAGAAATGTATTACAAATTGTGTCAACAGGTCAAATTAACACGAAAGTACGATTTGAGAGTATTCGCAGTTACTGAAAGCAAGTTAAAAGCCAAAAGCAATTAACAAAAAAAAAAATCATGCATCAGCGACTAAATTCAATTAAAACACATCCCAGGGATTTAGTTTTTAATGTAATGTAAAGAATCGTCAAAGAAGACATGACTAGTGCAATGCCAAAATGAAAGTATCGACAGGCAGTAGGATAGTTAGGTTTTAACCTTCTAATAAATATGTATCATGTTATATATAGATAAAGCAATCTCTAAATAGAAAATTAACGTGGACGTGTATTTATACATCCCAAAAACCATTCGAAAAGAATACAAATTTAGTTATGTTTTAATTTGTTGATGACAAAATCGATGTAAGTGCCAATGTAAACTTTTCAAAGATCTTATTACAACATTAATAAGATAACCTTTACTAATAAGTTTGTTTAAAGGGTCGATGAGTTTACACGGATCACATAGTGATTTCCTCGATTTTAGTACAATATTAACGTAAAATTTAGGAGGTGAAATACCGTTTTTAATAAGTTTTCTAAAGGTACCGCCAAATTTATTAAAATCAAATCTCTGTATCTATGAAAGAATTTAGTAAATGTTTTAAGTAATTTATGATTACAAAATCCTATGTTGTGTTTTGTGTACTGTTATATATAGATTCAAGGTTATGAATGTCATTAAGCTGCAAATTGACATGGTCCGATTTATTATACACTGTCAACTCACTCGGTTTCGCTTCTTTTGGAGTTCATGCAATTTCCTCAGTATGTGTTTGTAACCTTGATTTATCTTTTCTTTATAGATTTACATCGGTAAACTACTGTCGTCATTATGCACTACGCAATTTTCAATCATTTGCTTAATTAAGGCCCAGCCTATCATCGACAATAAATTATAGTTCATGTATATTTGGAACATAAGCAAAAAGTATATCTATCACATTTGTTAAAAATGTATGTATTCTAAGGTTTATTGTGAATTTGCCGCTGGCAAATCAGGTATGTTTGAGAGCTATATTTATTGTGTCTTCTTATAGACCGCCTACATTAACCTTTCCACAAGAAGTACTATGTGTATTTATACATGTTGCTTTGCACAAACAAGTCGGATAGGAAAGATCTATGCAGTCAATTCTTTTAAAAGAGTTGTATATCTTTATTCCTAGTTAGGAAATAAAATTAAAGTACGAGTCTTTAAATTAATGCTATATCTATCTAATTTTGACAATAGTTCTGGTTATGAGCAGTGTAAAAGTGTTATTGCAGGGCTTTGAGATCAGTTCAATACTCATCAATTATACAATAGTGTAAAAACAACTATAGTGGCCTACAAGAATAACATTTCTTTTGACCTCGGAATGAGAAAATATAAAATTGTTGAACCCTTTGCATTTATAGTAAACAGATTGGTGGCAGATTGGTACAGTCTTTGATTGCAGGATGTTTTATATTGCGATGTACACAAATACATTGTTTTATTTGACACGACATTGAACACTCGCAGTCAAGTTGACTGTGAAACCCAATAAAAAAGAAGATTCATATTCCAAACTAATTGTCCAACTCCTAGAGACAAAATGCGCATGTATACAAATGTTGATACAAACCTTGTGGAAAGTGTATACGTTGATTTTAGTTTGTTCGCAAGTTGTTATGAATTCTTATTGCGTGACCCCCTCTTTTACAATATTATTTGGTGTTATTAATGAACGAAATGTGCATCGGATGCAGTAAATTTGGTATCATTATAGTTAATACCAAAATTATGTACTGCACCTACAAAGTCGAAACTGTGTTAAATCAAAACGATAAATCATGCTAATTCCAAGTGCTTTGTACAGGCAGATATTTATATAGGTCATCTCCTTTTACCAAAGTAAATTTGGTAACTAAAAAATGGGCTGTTGTGTAATAGTGTATTATGAATTCTTGTTTACCTTTTTTGACGTAATTTATTGTGTCCTCGTAAGAACTATCTGTTTCTTTGAGTAACGTCATCATGTTTTCCTTCATTTCCTTCATTTCTTTTCTACATGCATCGTCTTTTTCTAACAATATTTGTTTTATTTCGTTCATATCTTTACGCTGTGCACTAAATTGATCTTTCATCGATTTCAAGTCTTCTTTCACTTTCTTCATTTTGTTTCCATCTTGAATTTCTTCAAAAATAAAATCCTCTCTAACTTGGAATATTATTAGTTCTACGGTGTATCCATATAATGCACCCAGCTACTGATAGTAGCAAAAATTACTTTATTATTCTCCATTACCGACATATTTTAAAACATATTATTTCTAAAATAGTAACATTCAAGGGTCACTGGTTTGAATTTTGTTTGCTCATGAAAGTTTACTTTCGATATATATACACAGCGGTATGAAAAAGAATGTAACACAATAAATAAGTTGCATTGCATTGTTAAACGTAGGATTCAAAAACCGGAGAATATTCTCAACAATTGAAATTCACTTTGTTTACTCCTTCGTAAATTTTGAAATCACCCTTTCGTAAACCTTTACGGTCGCCATCAAGTGTTGGTTAACTGTTGGTTTACTGTTGGTTTACCGTTACTGTTTCACAGACGACGACGAACATGTTCTAATTGTCGTAACTGCAATGCCGTCGCCTTTTCCCCGAATGTGACGTACCGAATTAGACTTATCATGGGGTTTGTACTAACATGAGCAACACTTCGTTTGTCACATGTGTGAAGGAGGATCTTCATACCTTTCTATAACACCTGTAGCACATCTTTTAATTTGGAATGGGAAATACTTGTGTAAGGTAGACAAGTCAAATGTTTTAATACCATTGCAAGAGAAAATATACTTAGATAATATGTATTCTAACAGATCTTTGGAATTCATAAGTATCCACATCTGATTCACCCCGCCCCTAGAGTAACAATAACTTTGAAACCCAGCTTTAATTGCTCATAAACTTGATGTTAGATACTTTAAGAAGAGGTTTCGTGGAACTCACGAAAGACCCAGCAATATAACTTTGTTTGTAAGGACACTTATGTAATTTAGGTATCCAATACAGTGAAGGAAGATCGAGTTCTTCAGTTTTGGTTGAAATTCTAAAACAACATAGAACAGACCTATGATCATTCAGGGAAGAATCGTGGGAGTATTGGTTGAGTTTCCAGTAATTTGTTAATAGCTAATTCCTTTATCAATCAGTTTATGTAATGTGATTTACATTTGTATCAACGACCTTACAGCTTAAACCCAAAGGAAGATTGAAGTTTAATTTTCGCCGTAATTTAAACAGTAGCAAGAAACGGCAGTGAAACAAACTGTTTATTTGGACATCCTTCAATATCCTTTAACTCTACGTTCCGCTATATAGATGATGTTCTCTCACTAAATAATACAAAATTTGGTGACTATGTTGAACAAATCTATCCCATCGAACTAGAGATAAAGGATACTACAGATACAGTTAAGTCTGCCTCATATCTTGACTTACATCTAGAAATTGACAATGAGGGTCGGTTGAAAACAAAACTTTACGACAAAAGAGATGATTTCAGCTTCCCAATTGTGAACTTTCCATTTCTATGTAGCAACATTCCAGCAGCGCCTGCATACGGAGTATATATCTCCCAATTGATACGATATTCCCGGGCTTGTGTTTCCTATCATGATTTTCTTGATAGAGGATTGCTGCTCACAAGGAAGCTATTAAACCAAGAGTTCCAAAAGGTGAAGTTGAAGTCATCCCTTCGTATATTTTATGGACGCCATCACGAGTTGGTTGACCGTTATGGAATAACCGTTTCACAGATGATATCGGATATGTTCCTTATGTCGTAACTACAATACCCTTCCCTTTTCACGAATGTGACTTACCGAATTAGACTATTTACCGGATTTGTAATAACATAAGCAACTCGACGGGTGCCACATGTGGAGCAGGATCTGCTTACCCTTCCGGAGCACCTGAGATCACCCCCAGTTTTTGGTGGGGTTCGTGTTGCTTAGTCTTTAGTTTTCTATGTTGTGTCATCTGTACTATTATTTGTCTGTTTGTCTTTTTATTTTTGGCCATGACGTTGTCAGTTTGTTTTCGATCTATGAGTTTGACTGTCCCTCTGGTATCTTTCGTCCCTCTTTTATATGGGAAGCATATTTTATACACATTTAATAAACTATTTTCAGATTTTAACATGTATACATTTGACTGTATTTGCTAACATGTACACATTTAAGAGTTAATGATCAACAGTCTTAAACAATATAGTTATAACAAATGTAAGAACGAATTCTTTACACAATGTCAAATAATCACACAATTGTTAGACGGACGTTTCGAATTACATTGTTTTCCACATGTAAATAGTTGAAATCTAAATTCATCCCCAATTTTGTCAATTGGTTTGATGTCTACATCCACAAATGTACCCTTGTGTCCTTCCAGCTTCATAAATCGATCTGTTGACATCTCATTCATAACAAGAAATGCATAATACCGAGCTGGAATCAATTCGAAATCTGATGATTTGTTAAACTCCTGAAAACAACCATATACATAAATACATTTTTTCAATAGATAAATGACGATCAATTTTTTTCAACTATTTAGAATATTTTGTTATTTTATGTTTTTAACATATTTAGGACTAAACTTGCTTTCGGTGGAGGTTTTAACAAGACCGTATGCTTAGTAGAGTATTTTTTCATTGTACAAGCAGTACAAGTTGAGTATTAGATAAAGTACAAAGGTAACAAAGAAACAGGCCGGTAACAACCGTTGCCGGATAGTTTTTCTGCACGAGTAGTCAGGTGAAGGTCCGAGGCGATAGCCGAGGACCTTGACCTGACTACGAGTGCAGAAAAACTATACGGCAGTTTGTTTCCGGCCTGTTTTTTTATACTTTTGTTTTGTATCTGACTTGTACGGCGTTTCAAGAAAGAAGTAGTACAAGTTGCATTTAGAAGAGGTAGCAAAATTAAACAGATTAGAAACTTAAATGGCCATATACCAGTTCGTGTAAGTTACAGTTTAAAAAAACTTTTTTTTCACTTCCCTTCAGCCGAGAGTTTTTTCTCAAGAAATTGAAGAATGTAATAATTTTATAAAAAGAATTATGCTTTGTAAAATGCAACTTCGCAAGTAAGTAATGTATGAAATAGATTTCAGAGGTAAGCAAGCTAATTGATTTTTATTTAGGGGAAAACGGAAAAGGGGTGGGGGGGGGGGGGGGGGTAAAATAAATTTAAAATAAACAGGCTTGATCCTTTTTTGTTGAATACATGCAGTGTGCCATTTCATTCCCCCATTCCCCCATAAAAAATAATAAAAAACGGACGTTTGCTCCAAAATATATGAATTCAATATATATATATATGAATTCAATAACAATGTAAATGTATAATAATAATGAATTTCCTCTTTCATTAGTGAATTGAATGTTATGAAAAAATGAATTGTCTTGTTATTAGATATATATATGCATATATTTTGGATTTTTTTTTTAAATCATGCTTATATGTTTTTATATGTCTCTAATAGTTTTGGTCAGGATTAAACACGTGTCACAATATGATCCATTCGCAGCTTACCGTACAAAATTGGTGACATAAGTTGAATGATTTTCTTCAAGATTTGCTGCCTATTTGAACATGTATTACACGGACACTTTTTATTTATAGGATCAATCGTGCATTGGTGAGTTGAAAGGGATTTTATCTTTTGATTAGATTTGATTATTTTTTTTATATGTTTCCTGTCTTTTTTATTGAAATATAAACGTCGGTACCAGCATTTCCTTACTTTCAGCATTGTCCAAGAATACTATCCATGTCCATATATTGAAGAAAAAATAAAATACATTTACGGACTGACCATTTAGCTTCAAAAGGGGGGAAAGTTTTTGCCTGAGTAAGAAAATGATCTAGTCTTTCAACGCTATCACCCAAATATTTTTTTCGAAATAAGCACTATTATATACGATATTCGGAAAATCAGGAATCAGATCATTATTTTGTCATCTGATTGACCACAATATATTTTTCTCATAATATTGGGGATCAGAATACTTTTTAAGGAAAAAACCGTAACTCCCCTTTTGAAATTAAATGGTCAACCACCTAGCATACTGATATGAATAGTAATTAATATACTGGAATTGTTTGAAAAAAATTGTTATTGGTGCCAACTTAAATATTTCAATAAAAGAGACAGGAAATATGTCGGTGAAACAAAAAGTTAAAATCTAATTAAAATTTAAAGTGCCTATGAACTCACTGGTCATGCACGAGTGATTCTATTCATAAAAAGTGTCCGTGTATTATCTAAAAAGTGTCCGTGTATTATCTAAAAAGTGTCCGTGTAACACCCGTTAATGTATTGTTTTTCTATAGCTCTGCTTGGGGCAAAGTCTTACAAAAAAAACCACACTGACATGTAATCGAAAACAGCCCAAATATCATGAACTTCAAAAGGGTAATGAAAAGTTATCGTATCATTGCCATCATCACAATTGTATCATAGGGTTTCCTGAAGAGTGGTATTCTGTTTAGCACTTAGATACATTCCTTTACTAGGGATTGGCGAATGATTTGACACAACGATCTCAAATTTGACCACGACCTAACCACGACAACAAGATGCTGTAGGTAAAATAGCAATTTTAAGTAAAATAAGCAATTTCTATGACATCATATTGATATCACAACTTAAATGTTTGCATTCAATCATATATTCATATCGTCTTATTTGTTAATCAATACAATTTAATCAATATTGAAAGGTTTGGCGGGTTTTGAATTTTTATTTGGCGTTCAATTTTTAAAGAATGCCTTCTATCATGGCTTATCCTTTACATGAATGGATAGAGACAGGTTAGACAAATGACGACAAAAGATGCGTAAAATAACTCAAAAGGAAAAGAACTTAGGATTTATAAAAAAGAATTCTAATATGAGGTCAAATTAAACTCATATACAATTACATCAACAAGATCAAGGGTGCCATCATCTGGTACGTGCAGATATTTCTTTTCTCCGTTTTTAAATATTGTCGAATAGCGCCTTATGTAAAAAGCAAACATTCCTTTACTTTCAATTCTTCTATCTTCCAGAAAACGACCTATAAAACAATTGAACGTTTGTTAAACAACAAATATTCATACACAATGAATCTTAACGGTGGTGTAGTTCTTTATTTCACTAGTTTCGTCCTTGGGAAATAGTTTTGGTATGTGCCTTATTTTAGATTTGATATGAATGTGTTAACCCGAATAATTCAGTCGTTATATTTCGCTGCTCTACGATGGCTACATTAACGCCTGAATGCCTGATCGGTTATAAATCAACCAAAAACATAAAATACATACGTATTAATTTTCATACATTGACATAACCGTGAACAACTGATCTTTTTTTTTCAGAATACTCTGTTATCATTGTTTTTTAAATTTTAAATTGAAAGTACTTTACTATGACGGCATGTACATAACAACATTACATTAATTAGATAAAATTCAAAAGTGTAGCAAGATGTATTTTTCATTTTGACAGTCTATGAAAAAGTTCTGAGGCCAAATTGTACAACGTGAGCATTGTCTTTAAAATTATTGATGTAAATTCAATTTTCATTGTCCTTTAAATTATCAATTTTTGGTTGGTGTGCACCATAGGGTGTCATTCAAAAAATTGTCTCCCTCTGAGACATTGGACAGAGTAAATTAACTACCTCGTATAGGCCGTGAAGTATAAAAATTAAAATGACAATTCATATTGTCCTGATTTTGGCCCGTCAGGCATATATTTATTAAGCGTGGAAAACAATTTTTTTAGATCCCCAATCTATCTCATCATTTTGATCCCGATCAGTGAACTTAAATAAGAAACATTGAAAGAACGAAACAAAAGAAAAAAGAAAAAAAAAGTGCATAAATAACGGCATTATTGATTAAACAGCTTAAATAACAGTATTAGACCGAATCATACTGAACGCTCGCAGTTACTGAAAAGTAGTAAAGAGTATAGATGTTCATAAACTGCTTAAGAGAAACCGTGCCGTTCTACACTCATATATTAAATGTTGCACATCATAGATAACTTAATACAAAGTGCATTAAGGTGGATAGGGGGTCTTAATTAAAATCCATAGAATCTTTTAATAATTTGTCAAAATGTAGTTTTTATCATGCTTTTTTCCAAAATAAAATAAAAAGTATGGGTCACCGGACTTTTTTTCACGCTAGCTACAGGTTGTGTAAAATTGTCAGATTTTGTATAAATTATGCATGGAAAATCCAATTTTGTGTGATAAAAAGAAAATTACACCATAGAATTTTAAGATAAAATTTGAGAAGATAGCTCTTATACCATGCTTTCAGATAAGAAAAAGAAAACATGGGGTCACCGGACTTCTTTTCTTGCTACATATTAAAATAGGTAAATTCACAACACTTTCTATTATAAAAATTACTTTATCTGAGTTATCTCCCCTACTATCTGAGTTATCTCCCCTTATGTGGCAATTACATACTACTCTCAAAATTTCACATTTCATTAAGATCTTGACCAATTGTCATCTGCTACTTCAAAATCCAAGATGGAGGAAGACACCCCAGCCACCTTAAATATGATCTTATGCAATGCCCATAATATAAAATTATGGCGAAATTCAGCACAAAAAAGCCCTAAAAAGGAACGTTAAGTTTGCTTCATATTTTTAAATTGTGAGTTGATTTTCAACCCAAAAATGCCATACGCAGTTAGTAAGCAGCTTAACCTTCATTAGCATATATAGCAGAACCGACAGTAGTAAAAGACATTTATTTCTTGTGAAGTTTATAAATAATATTACCGTAAAAAGTTGAACGCGTCAAAGAAAGTAAAACAAACTAAAGAAAACGAGGTCACCAAATTTATCTTTAATTTTGCTATGAAAATTACCATGTGACATTCTATTATTAAGATCAAACTAAATCCAGCTGACACTTAGAGGCAATAATGGAATACAAAATTTCGTTAGTATACTGTAAACCAACTTAATTTATTGCGCTATTTATTTAGAAAAGCGAATATGTAAAACGTAAATATTTTCTAATATCAGTACAGCAAAAATCGAGAATCGCAATCTAGAAAGGACTAAACACAAAACATGTATCCGCGAAATTATGTTGGTTTGCAGTATTTAGAAATATCTTGGTTGTCTACACGCTATTACGTGTTTACCTCTTATTGTTATGAAAATATTTATAACCTGTGTTCAGAAGTGGCAGGAATTTACAGATGTTCGAATCTCTTAAATCCAGATGCATCAAAAAGATGCAAATCAAGGTAAAAAAAAGAACAAACACATACTAGGGAATCGCAAAAGTTCCAAAAGTGACGAAACAATTTCGCTAAAAGACTCGCAATGCAAATACACACTCAGTTTAAGACACTCGAAAATAGGACAAAATCGGTAAAATATACAGATCAAACAATTAATCTGTATCTAAAGATCTCAAACCGCAAAAACCATATCCGTGGTGAGTTGAGACACATACACATCGTATAGGTTAAGTAATTCGTGGCCAACTTTCTTCATAACTCCTGTGAGCCGTTTTTTTGGCAGGAGCACATCCTGTTAGGGATGTATAAGTGTAAACATGCACGAGCATGTCATTTGAATTGAGATATGTATACGCCATACGAAGGGAAAAGGGTAGACTACTGCTAAGAAATTGGAAGTTAACAATTGGAAATGAGAAAATTTGAAATCATCACGTTTATCATATACTGTAGTCTGAAGTCGTCCATCTGTATCAATATCGAGGCGTTGGTCTTAATATGACACATGCCTTCCAGGTTCGGTAGAATTATTATTATCTTACCTCCTATACATTTCTAGGAATATGATTGGTTAAAAGCAACCGCGTGGAGACCGTGTATATTCCATATAAGTTAGTAGGCGGGGCTTATTTCAATATACGGTTAGTAGTGGTGTTACGTCCCTTTATAAAAACAACACTTTGTTGAGGAAAAATCTTAATGGTCTCAACAGAGGAAGAAATTGATGATGAACGATGGAAATAAATTTATCAAACACATTTAAAGCTTACAACTTGTTATTGTTGCCATTTGTTTTTGTATAGACCAATGGAAGTAGGTTGTTAAATCTAACGGTATTGAAATCTTGATCTCTTAGAAAGGCCACTAGTCTAAATACCAATGTTAAGATAGTCGGTAAGATACATTCGTTACATAGTGTGCTAGTGACCTAATACGATATATATGGGGTCAGTAAATTCCATATGAGGATTCGAGCTTCGCTCATATATATCGTATTAGGTCACTAGCACACTATTCAGTATATCAGTTTAAACACAAGTCGGCCTGTAGGGGTGCACAATAAGTAAAATAAAACATCTAAAATATAAGCCGAATAAGTAAACATTTATGATTTATTAGGAATATTGCTGAACGATATAAATAAGCTCATCATAGATATCAGGATTACAATTTTGGACACCAGACGCGCGTTTCGTCTGGAAAAGACCAATCAGTGACGCTCGAATAAAAACGTGGAAGTGCATTGAGAACCAAAAATTCCAAAAAGTTTTGCCAAATACAGCTAAAGTAATCTTTTTCAAGTTTCTCTTGAAATGAATTAAATAAACTGAACAAATATGTTGTCGATTAAAAAGTCATTTCTATGATATCTTCTTCTGTGTATTTGGACCAATGTGATCCTTAACAAAGTTTTTTTTTTTTGATGACCTAAAGCACATAATTTGTATCTACGATTGGTGTAGAAAAATGATTGTTTTACGAAAGAATGTAGTCGATCTTTCAATTGAGCATGGGAAAAGGGATGTAGAGTGTAGAAAAATCAAAGGTGTTGATATTATTGCAAACTGATACAGATTGTGATTAAATGTTTTATAGTAGATCTTTAGCATTGTTAAGAATCCACGTCCGATTGACACAACTGGTGACATAAACCTCATCACAATCATTTCTAAGGCTATAATATGATCATCATCGGTACAGATTATCTCGAAATATATATATATATATATATATATAGGCAGTCTGCAGGGTTTAAGAAAATCTGTTGTTCGACCTGCTAGTCAAATGGGTTTTGTTAAAATATACCTTTTCACTTTTTTGGTTCAATAGGGTTTAAGAACATTTGTTGTTCGACCTGTTAGTCAAATGCGTTTTGTTAAAATATACTTTTCCACTCTTTTGGTCTTTTGGAAAATGTTGTTTGTGCTGTATTTAGACCCCTCTAACAAGAAATTTGTTTTGCATGCACACGTATAAAAATTGCGGTTTTTATCCAACGCAATCATAGGTTTGAACGTTGTTTTCAATTTAGACGTTTATATATTTTTTCGTTTGGGCTTGTATTATATTTTCCTTCGGGTTTATATGATCCGTTCATCCTATTTCGACTCTTTAAAATTCAAGAGTATATCCTAAATTGAGGTAAAGTAGATGGCCTTCCAAACACCGTTTCGATCCCTAACATCACTGAAGAGACATCAATTGTCGAAATCCGGATATGGTGTACAAATTTTTGCATCTCATGTTTGTGGTATACTATCTTTTCCACAAGTTTATTGTTTTCTGTTTGGTATTAAATTGATATTAAGATCCATTTCGTTAGATCTGGTGATCAATTTATTTTGCAATCGCCAATGGCAGTCAGCAGAGTTTAAGAACATCAGTTGTTCGACCTGTTAGTCAAATGCGTTTTGTTAAAATAGACTTTTTCACTTTTTTGGTCTTTTGGAAATTGTTGTTTGTGCTGTATTTAGACCCCCGACCAAGAAATTTGGTTTACATACACACGTATAAAAATTGCGGTTTTTATCCAATGGAATCATAGGTTTGAACGTTGTTTTCAATTTAGACGTTTATATATTTTTTCGTTTGGGCTTGTATTTTATATTCCTTTGGGTTTGTATGATCCGTTCATCATATTTCGACTCTTTAAAATTCAAGAGTCTATCCTAAATTGAGGTAAGTTATATGGCCTTCCAAATACCGTTTCGATCCCTAACATCACTGAAGAGACATTAATTGTCGAAATCCGGATATGGTGTACAAATTTTTGCACCTCATGTTTGTGGTATACTATCTTTTCCACAAGTTTATTGTTTTCTGTTTGGTATTAAATTAATATTAAGATCCATTTTGTTAGACCTGGTGATCAATTTATTTGGCAATCGCCAATGGCAGTCAGCAGAGTTTAAGAACATCAGTTGTTCGACCTGTTAGTCAAATGCGTTTTGTTAAAATAGACTTTTTCACTTTTTTTGGTCTTTTGGAAATTGTTGTTTGTGCTGTATTTAGACCCTCTACAAAGAAATTTTTTTACATCCACACGTATAACAATTGCGGTTACGTTGTTTTCAATTTAGACGTTTATATATTTTTTCGCTTGGGCTTGTATTATATTTTCCTTCGGGTTTATATGATCCGTTCATCCTATTTCGACTCTTTAAAATTCAAGAGTATATCCTAAATTGAGGTAAAGTATATGGCCTTCCAAACACCGTTTCGATCCCTAACATCACTGAAGAGACATTCATTGTCGAAATCCGGATATGGTGTACAAATTTTTGCATCTCATGTTTGTGGTATACTATCTTTTCCACAAGTTTATTGTTTTCTGTTTGGTATTAAATTGATATTAAGATCCATTTCGTTAGATCTGGTGATCAATTTATTTTGCAATCGCCAATGGCAGTCAGCAGAGTTTAAGAACATCAGTTGTTCGACCTGTTAGTCAAATGCGTTTTGTTAAAATAGACTTTTTCACTTTTTTGGTCTTTTGGAAATTGTTGTTTGTGCTGTATTTAGACCCCCGACCAAGAAATTTGGTTTACATACACACGTATAAAAATTGCGGTTTTTATCCAATGGAATCATAGGTTTGAACGTTGTTTTCAATTTAGACGTTTATATATTTTTTCGTTTGGGCTTGTATTTTATATTCCTTTGGGTTTGTATGATCCGTTCATCATATTTCGACTCTTTAAAATTCAAGAGTCTATCCTAAATTGAGGTAAATTATATGGCCTTCCAAATACCGTTTCGATCCCTAACATCACTGAAGAGACATTAATTGTCAAAATCCGGATATGATGTACAAATTTTTGCACCTCATGTTTGTGGTATACTATCTTTTCCACAAGTTTATTGATTTCTGTTTGGTATTAAATTAATATTAAGATCCATTTTGTTAGACCTGGTGATCAATTTATTTAGCAATCGCCAATGGCAGTCAGCAGAGTTTAAGAACATCAGTTGTTCGACCTGTTAGTCAAATGCGTTTTGTTAAAATAGACTTTTTCACTTTTTTTGGTCTTTTGGAAATTGTTGTTTGTGCTGTATTTAGACCCTCTACAAAGATTATTTTTTTACATGCACACGTATAACAATTGCGGGTTTTATCCAACGCAATCATAGGTTTGAACGTTGTTTTCAATTTAGACGTTTATATATTTTTTCGTTTGGGCTTGTATTATATTTTCCTTCGGGTTTATATGATCCGTTCATCCTATTTCGACTCTTTAAAATTCAAGAGTATATCCTAAATTGAGGTAAATTATATGGCCTTCCAAATACCGTTTCGATCCCTAACATCACTGAAGAGACATTAATTGTCGAAATCCGGATATGGTGTACAAATTTTTGCACCTCATATTTGTGGTATACTATCTTTTCCACAAGTTTATTGTTTTCTGTTTGGTATTAAATTTAAATATTAAGATCCATTTTGTTAGATCTGGTGATCAATTTATTTTGCAATCACCAATGGCAGTCAGCAGAGTTTAAGAACATCAGTTGTTCGACCTGTTAGTCAAATGCGTTTTGTTAAAATAGACTTTTTCACTTTTTTTGGTCTTTTGGAAATTGTTGTTTGTGCTGTATTTAGACCATATATATATATATATATATATATATACATTAGTAAAACACTAATTGCTCAAATCATTTGTTTGCATGTGTAATTAATGTATTTTAAGAAATATAATACTGACAAATGAATTGTAACGACTGCAATAAAAATAAATACATCCACATTTATCGCAATACTATTGAAATAAGGCAGTTGGGTATGTATAAGTGTTAATGACTTTCCATAAACCAAAGGACAAAGATGCAAACAGTTACAGGTCATTTAACAATGAGCAAATCCCATATCGAAAGATGTTTTTTTTTAAATCACTCTGATAACTTAATACTATATAAATATATTGTAATGAGATTACAGGGAAGGGTAATCATCGTAACAGTAACCGAAGGTAAACAGACCATTCAAGGAACTTTGCTTTTCGAAGAAGTCCAAGAGTTATTTTACATTTCAGAAGTACCTCTATCAATATTTTGTTTAATGAAATAAATGCTTTTCACATAAAACCAAATGACTCTAATATTTCCCATCGAAAAGTTTCTAATTTTCAAATGGCTAAATACGAAAAAATGTATTAAGGTGTATCCTGTAATCAAACAGAATTTATATTCAACAGTTTTTTTCGAGGTGTTCTTTATTTTATAAGTACATTTATTAATCTAAGTACGTATGTATATTAATAGATAAATTGGACAAAAAGCAAACCATTAACTAAACGTACAAATATGTTTAGTTGGGATTTTGTGATTTATTTATATTTATGAACTATAATGGTTCTGTTCGTCAAACTATCTACGTGTGGTTTTCATGTTATTCGTATACTTTCTGTTAAGCAATATAAGTATGCGCATATAGTAAAATAGTACGACGCACATGCATTTGTACTATGTTTGTGTATAAAGTCTGAAATGTATATATAAATATATATATATTCATAAAATAAATACTAAAAATAGTAAACAAGTTAACAGAACTGGAACTGTTAACTTGTTTACTTATTTTACTATTTATTTTATGAATATATATATCTGCACATGTGAAAATTATCTTTTTACGCCTATATATATATATATATATATATATATATATACAACCAAGTCTAAATTGAAAACAACGTTCAAACCTATGATTGCGTTGGATAAAAACCGCAATTTTTATACGTGTGCATGCAAAACAAATTTCTTGTTAGAGGGGTCTAAATACAGCACAAACAACATTTTCCAAAAGACCAAAAAAGTGAAAAAGTATATTTTAACAAAACGCATTTGACTAACAGGTCGAACAACAAATGTTCTTAAACCCTGCTGACTGCCATTGACGATTGCCAAATAAACGGATCACCGATGTAATAAATGGATCTTAATTTTAAATTTAATACTAAACAGAAAACAATAAATTTGCGGAAAAGATGATATACCGCAAACAAAGGGTGCAAAGGTTTTTGTACACCATATCCGGATTTCGACAAATAATGTCTCTTCAGTGATGTTAGGAATCGAACCGGTATTTGGAAAGCCCAACAATTTACCTCAATTTAGGATAGACTCTTGAATTTTGAGGAGTCAAAATAGGATGAACTGATTATATAAACCCTGAGGCAAATATAATACAAGCCCAAACGAAAAAATATAAACAAGTCTAAATTGAAAACAACGTTCAAACCTATGATTGCGTTGGATAAAAACCGCAATTTTTATACGTGTGCATGCAAAACAAATTTCTTGTTAGAGGGGTCTTAATACAGCACAAACAACATTTTCCAAAAGACCAAAAACGTGAAAAAGTATATCTTAACAAAACGCATTTGACTAACAGGTCGAAAAACTAATGTTCTTAAACCCTGCTGACTGCCATTGGCGATTGCCAAATAAACGGATCACCGATGTAATAAATGGATCTTTATTTGAAATTTAATACTAAACAGAAAACAATAAACTTGCGGAAAAGATGATATACCGCAAACAAAAGGTGCAAAGGTTTATGTACACCATATCCGGATTTCGACAAATAATGTCTCTTCAGTGATGTTAGGAATCGAAACGGTATTTAGAAAGCCCAACAATTTACCTCATTTAAGGATAGACTCTTGAATTTTGAGGAGTCAAAATAGGATGAACGGATCATATAAACCCTAAGGCAAATATAATACAAGCCCAAACGAAAAAATATAAACAAGTCTAAATTGAAAACAACGTTCAAACCTATGATTGCGTTGGATAAAAACCGCAATTTTTATACGTGTGCATTCAAAACAAATTTCTTGTTAGAGGGGTCTAAATACAGCACAAACAACATTTTCCAAAAGACCAAAAAAGTGAAAAAGTATATTTTACAAAACGCATTTGACTAACAGGTCGAACAACAAATGTTCTTAAACCCTGCTGACTGCCATTGGCGATTGCCAAATAAACGGATCACCGATGTAATAAATGGATTTATATTTGAAATTTAATACTAAACAGAAAACAATAAACTTGCAGAAAAGATGATATACCACAAACAAAAGGTGCAAAGGTTTTTGTACACCATATCCGGATTTCGACAAATAATGTCTCTTCAGTGATGTTAGGAATCGAAACGGTATTTGGAAAGCCCAACAATTTACCTCAATTTAGGATAGACTCTTGAATTTTGAGGAGTCAAAATAGGATGAACTGATTATATAAACCCTAAGGCAAATATAATACAAGCCCAAACGAAAAAATATAAACAAGTCTAAATTGAAAACAACGTTCAAACCTATGATTGCGTTGGATAAAAATATGTTTTTTTTTAAATTTAAAATTAATTCATTTTAAAAAATAAAAGAAACATGAATATAGTTTCAAATTAATAATACACACACACATACACAAACAAGATAACTGCATAATTTTGTTATACTTACATTCAACAAAATCGCATGCCTTTTTACCCGGTTCAGGTGATGATAGTTCCTTAATAACAATTCTATTACTCTGAATTTCTAAGTGTTGCATAAACATATGTGTTCCTGTTTTATTGAAAACAACAACGCGGAACAAATTTCTGCTCCAATCTGGTCCCACTGGTATTGTAGACGCATCAATGAAACGTGCCCGAATTATTTCTGAAATTAGTGGAAACAAAAAAAAGCATTCAATAAATCTAGATAATCACTGCTGAATTATATGGTTTACAATTTATTATCATGTTTGATTTTGTGTTTGATTTTGTTTTCACACTGTTTCGATTTGAACGCCACTGATGAGTCTTATTGAGACATGGTTCCAGCATTGCGAATTAAATTATAAGCCAGGTATCTTTGATGAGTTTTGTTTAAACACTATTATTATTCTGTTTGATGTCATGTCATAGACTAACCGAGTCGTAGTAATCACAAGTCAGAGTCGAGTTATGTGCGCACAAAAAAGATGCGAAAGACACAAGAGGTACATTCAAATTTATCAGTCGAAAATAAACTGACAACGCCATGGCTAAAAAAGAAAATGACCAACAGACAAACAATAGTACACAAAACACAACATAGAAAACTAAAGACTGAGCAACACGAACCCCGTCAAAAACTGGGGGTGATCTCAGGTGCTCCAGAAGGGTGAGAAGATCCTGCTCCACATGTGGCACCCGTCGTGTTGCCCATGTTATTACAAACCCGGTAATAAGTCTTATTCGGTAGGTCATATTCGGGAAAAGGGGGACGGGATTGTGGTTACGACAATTGGAACATATCCGCTAACAACTGTGAAACGGATATTCCATTACGGTCAAACAACTCGTGATGGCGTCCGTAAAACTTACGAAGGGATGATTTAAACTTCACCACTGTGAACTCTTGGTTTAATAGCTTCCTCGTGAGCAGCAATCCTCTATCAAGGAAATCATGATTGGAAGTACAAGCCCTGGAATATCGTATCAACTGAGAGATATATACTCCGTATGCAGGCAATGCTGGAATGTTGCTACATAGAAATGGAAAGTTCACAAAGTAACGTGCTTCTGGAATTGTAGATTAATTTAGACCTTATCTGACTGTTTTATGCAACATTAACGTATGTATGCTCGAAATAAAAATTGACATTTCATATATGTCAATTATGCATTTAGTTCATCAATAATTAAGCATTAAGACAAAACGACAAAAGCAAAATAAATATTAATACTGCACATCCTATTTTTTTTATAATGATTTTTAAGGTAGTTGGGTTATTTTTTCGTTTGAATTATTTCACAATTTGTCCTGTTGTGGCCTTTTATCGTGTTTTAACTGATTGTACTGTTTGTGTATGTGTTTTAATCATTGTTGATTTAAACAGTGAGCTAAAGTTGTTTAGGTGTACGTTTTGTGGATTCATATACAAACATACCACATCACCTTATTTCATATTTGTAATTTTATTTCTTTTGATTATTTGTAAAGGATCGTTTGTTGATACTTACCTCCAGATAAATATAAGCAAAACTTTACAACTGTGACACAGTTTGTAGAGGGTCTCCAGTAAGTCTAACAATACATATATATATATAGTTATATTCATTAATATTCAGTTGTACTTTTTTGTTTTACAAAAACTGTTTTTCTTAAGAACAATCATGCTTTTCGGGGATTTCTTACTAAAGTACTAATAATACTAAGCAAAGGCAAACAAAAAGCGAAATGACGATCAGCGTAGGGCTATTTTGTTTGTTATACAAAGGTATGTTTGTGTATCAGTATTATAAAAGAATCGCCCTTGTTTTGAGTTCATTAATTTTTTTGTTATTTATTTTCATGGTTTTCTCATTTTAAAACGTAATAGAACTTTTAACACTGACAATAGTTACATAATATATATCATATACAAAGATGCTAAGTGAGAAGCGACACGTAAAATAATTGTAAAAATAAAAGTACCATTGTTGTATTGGTTTTTAAAGGTATTTTTTCTAAGAGTTCCACGACGTCTTTATTGGGCAGTACTGTAACATCGTCATCGTTTATAGCAAGAAGTTGATCCCCATTTCTGCAATAAAAACAAACTATTTAGAAAAAGAATATACAAACTATTTGTTTTCTACGAGTTTTGACATTAGACATAAAAATGAATTTTAAGCGTTGTCTTGCTAAGCATACCGGTATTTCATTCGGTAAACAAAGTATCGAAAGTGGGCGGTAGGTATGAGAGATGTCCGAAAAGTGCTTATCACTGTGAATGAGGTTCTATGTTTAGAAGCATTGGATCAAAATATCAAGTTCATCAAATTTATAGGTATTAGATGTCTTCCCGATTCGAAAAGTTCTTACAAGTTACAGCTCATCAAGATCAAGCTGCTGATCACATATATTTTCGTCATTAAGTGGGAACCTTAGCAAAGCAAAGTTTGAAGAACATATTTTTTTGACAAATATAAACACACGAGAGACAGATTATTCTGTCTATTGGTTTAAATGGCTCAGTAGTTTTGGGAAGAAGACACACGAAACTTATATCCAAAACACAATAGAAAAATTTAATAAAGGAGAAATCACACTTGCACAACTTATCGACCAACAAATGGCATATGATTCTATCTGGCAAGAGGGACTATTAGTGATATTATATCACTTAGGTATTGGAGGAAAAACATGGGCCTGGATTAAAGATTTCTTAAATAACAGAATAGCAAGGTGCATCTTTGAAAACTATGTAGGCGAAGAATTAGAAACAAGTATAGGGCTGACTCAAGGATCAGCCCTCATTATTCAACATCTTAATCAACGACTAACTGGGGGATATCCTAAGAGACTACACTAAATTCGCCGACGATGGAACATTCTGGCAAACTGCTAAACCAGATCAGATATCAGAATTTAAGGATAGAATGAAGAATGACATCACGCAGGCAGTAGAATGGGCACAAAAATGTAGACATCAACATGGACAAAACCGAAATAAGTATCTTTTAAAAAAGCATAAATTCTATACATAGAGATATACCTACAAAATGTGGCAGAAAAGCATTAGATGCCGGAGCAAAGCTGATAGACCTAAGGTTGAAACAAACAACCATAAAAGAGATAACAAAGATTAAATCCAAATCCAAACAAAACCAATCAAACAACAACTTCTGAGGTATAAAGAAATGCAATCTATGACAAACATCCCACACCAAGGGACAAAGCCTGAAGCCAAGCAGTAGACATGGACAAACAAACAGAGATTAACATAAAATAAAATGCATCGCTGAGTGCAGCTGGATACGACCGCAGAAGTCCAACCACGAACAGTTGGGGCAAAAATGGACACAATATTCGCGCTTGATACAGGTCTGAATTTTGATTGTAATTAAATATTTGACACATAATAGGTATCTGACACCGAATAACTGTAGTCAAAGAACTTAGAATTGGTTATATGATTTGAATTTATATTCAATTGTTTGCTTTTGTACAATACACTATGCTGTTGCGAATTGACCCCTCCCCCCCCCCCCCCTTTTTTTGGCTTTTGTGAAATACACTATGCTGTTGCGTATTGATCCCCCCGAAAAAAATGCTGTTGCGTATTGACCCCCCCCCCCCACCCCCCCAAAAAAAAAATTTTTTTTACCCCTTTTTGTGCAAAAAAAAATAATATTTGAAGAAATTTTCTTTTTAATTTCTGAAATCTGAAATGAAAAGAAAAAAAAATTGCCCTCCACAATTTCCAAAAAAAAATTCTTTCCCTCAAAATATGGTCATAATCTCAAGTCAAATTTCCACTGGAGTTTGCAACCATAATTACCAATTTAAATACATCATAAAAGTCTTAAAATAGAAAATGACATACATAATCATTGCTAAAATTAATATTCCTTTAATAGTAACTTCTAAGAATAAATTGACAGCTAATCATCTCAAGACAATACAAAATTTCTTTATACATAATTTAAAGCAGTGTAAGGGAGGTAATCCAAACATACACAACATTGTACTTCAAATGTGTTTGGATTACCTCCCTTACACTGCTTTTAAATTGTCCATTAACCAGGAAACCTTTGTTTCCCCGCTTTTTTGCACAGGCACTTGTCTCAGAAAAAAATTTCCTATATACCTTAATATAATACATAGGCACTTGTCTCAGAAAAAAAAATCCTATATACCTTAATATAAATAATTAAGGTATACAGGGGGAAAAAATTCTGAGACAAGTGCCTGTGCTTTTTTGCCCCTAATTCCTAAACGGTTTGAGCCATAACCCCCCCCCCCCCCCCAAAGTCAATCCTAACCATCCATTGTGGTATGGAAACTTGTGGTATAATTTCAGAGAGATTCATACACCGTTCCACAAGTTATAGTCTAGAAACTCGAAAAATGCTTATTTAGGCCCTTTTTTGGCCCCTTATTCCTAAACTGTTAGAACAATAACCCCCAACATCAATCCCAACCTTTTTTTGTGGTTATAAACCTTGTGTTTAAATTTCATAGATTTCTATTTACTTATACTAAAGTTATTGTCCGGAAACCAAATGTCTTCGGACGACCACGACGACAACGACGACGACGACGTGATACCAATATACGACCGCAAATTTTTTTGCGGTCGTATAAAAATCAACCCCATAGAACCTGAGTTTACATACAGACTAGACGAAATTCAAATGACCCAAACAATAGATATAAGAAGATGTGGTATGAGTGCCAATGAGACAACTCTCCATCCAAGTCACAATTTGTAAAAGTAAACCATTATAGGTCAGACTTTTATACTGGAGTGGATGAGACGACTCAAAAACAAAGACAAGAGAGTAACAAGAACTTGACAAGAAATTTTCAAGCAACTCATTGGAGATTGCACGCAAGAACGAGCAGTATCGTTCACAGATGGATCATGCTTACGGAATCCATGACCTTGTGGAGCATGAGTAGTTAACTACGCCGAGCACATTTAACTTTTGGTACGACAACATAGGCCTGTGGCACAAGAAGGTCCGTTCTACTGACAGAACTTGTAGCATTTCTCATGGTTTTTAAGTACTGCATTACTAAACACTTGTACAACGCCATACAGATTACCAAAATTTTCATTGACAGTCAAAGTGCTGTGGAACTTCTAACAATGAACTGGGCCCGAAATAGCTACACTGTCGTAAATAAGAAAAAGGTCTAGAAGTAAAAGTCTCGTGGACACCAGGACATGCCATTATAACCGGTAATAACGACGCTGACATCTTTGCAAAGATGGCAGCAAAAGAAGCAAAACAACTACGACCAGAGAATAACGTCATAACATTACAGGACGCCAAACAAGCAGCTTGTAAAAGAACAGCAAGAAAATGGCAGAGAAGATGGGAAATATACGAGAGAGGAAGGGACTTATACGAAAAGGTATGAACTATGAAACACTCAATTCTGTATGATTTCCCAACTTAGAGACATTTCAGCATATTCGCCGAGAACTGGCTACACTGAACTAAACTACTACAAGAAAAGAAAAGACCAAACCAACGCCGTCATGCAACTTTGGAGCACCCGAAACACCTCACCAATTTCTTTTGGAGTGTCCTTGCTATGAGAACGTACGAAAAAATATTATCCATCAAATATCCAAAGAGGTAGGGATTCGGAACCTGAACTAATCAACCATATTAACCAGACTAGAAGGCGAGAACATCGAAGAGACTAAAGCCAAACTACTAACAGTGGCAATTTATGTCGACAGAACTGAGAAATTTGATACTGTAGTTCCTCATCCCAATCTTAACCAGCGCATACCCTTTAAAATGAAAACAGAGATAATAATTGAACATAATGCACGAAGGAGTAAACCTGCACATTCGAGACAATTTGTGCTAATAGGCCTTAAGATTGAGGATTGACAACCTTCATAAGAAAGATTGTTGACCATTTTCTAGACGTTCTATATATATATAGTATTATATCTAGTTCACAAGATTATATATATCATTTCTAATAATTGAGCAGTTGTAAGGAGCCGCATAAATTTGCTTTGAACTAAATTCAGAACATAAATATATGTATACTCTTGTTGTTTGTAAAGCTGCCTTGGATGTTTTTACTTTTCTCGTTCATGTTCTGTTGTGGAGACTTTGGACTTTTTAACACATTTGCTTTCCCAAATAGCTCCTCGCGACATATCGATTCTGTGTTGATGCGACAGTAAATAATCAAACAATCAATTAATCATTTTATTATGGAACAAATTGGTAGTTTTTTAAAATCCGATGGAAAATTACCTTTTATATTTAAAATTGCATTATGTTTAGGTACACTACCTTATTTTCAGTGTTAAAGAAGCTGTCTTTGTCGAGTCAAACATAAATATGTGTTGAAATCCATGATTGTCAATGTACCGTGTTTCTATGTTTCCATGCAACCACTGAACTGTATTTACTTCTGTTTGTTCTACTCCAGAATCTGCAATTTCTGTATTACGTTCCTAAATATATGATATATACAATTTGTAACGTGACTTTATATCTTTTTAAAATAATTAAGCAGTTGTTAAGAACCGCCAAAATCTGTTTTTTGAATTTAATTCAGAACATACATTTATAATAAGGTTAATATTGTGATGAACTAAGTGTAATGAATGAAATAGATATTATCAAATAAATGGAAAATTAAAATAATGGAGTATAAGTTTCTACACAAAAATATTAATCCGCAGTAAACCGATGTAGTACCTTCAGTATGTACGTCATGGAATACCATAGTACATCCGGTTGATGTTTTTAAAATCTCCACGAGCAGTGGCATAGACCCAGCGGTTGTAATTAATTTCATCATAAATAGCAGTATTACAATTTTGTACATGATCTTGCAATTACCTAAAATATTTTGTTGCATGTTTTGTATATTCAAAGTGATTTACGAGAAATTTAAATATTAATAAACCACTCATATCTGTAATATGTCACACGCATAACAAACTAAAATTATTTATTATGCTTTTACAGAGAAATAAACAGTCACCAACATATTCAGTTTAAGATAAAACATTTAATAATTATTTCAAAGTCTTCATTCTGTAAATTTTGATTTTCCCTAATGTCGACAAAAACGAAACTGACTGAAGTGTATCTGTGGTATTATTTATATTTAGTTGATAGGAATAAATCGAGTCAACTTATTAACTTAGATGAAAAGGTAAGAAAAGTCTTACGTAACAGACGAATACGATATGTACAAGTAAGTTCATATCTATCCTGTCTTTGGTGAAATCAGAGACATATATATTATGTCTCTGGTGAAATTAACAAGCTGAAATAATATGTATGTTGACAGTTTTCATTTAAATGTTTACCTCAAATGGACTTTCAGTTGTTTTGTTCTTTAAACTCGATGCATGCTCCTCGTCTTGATCTTTATCTTCTCTTGAATTATATGTGCCGGTTTGTTTGTCTGAATTTTAAAAAAAAAGAAGCATATACTTCAATGTTGTTCTTTTTATATATATTCACAGTGACTGATGACCGAATGACAGCAAGCAAGTACATGTATAGTGTGTAGTAAATAGTCATATTTGAAGTTATCTATATATCATGTGAATTTGCGTCTAAAATAAAATAAACATAAACATAAAAAGGTAAAAAAAAATATTTTAAGAGTTATCTAAAGTGAATATTATTCCTATAAATGCATTAGATGAAAGATGCGAAATTAAAAACATATATTGGTTCTTATATATACATACTTAACACACCCACGACATCGCGGATCTGTGACTTAATTAAAGTACCTACGGCTTATGGGTAGCTTGGACTTTAATTCACTTGCACTAATAGGTGTTAATAGTATTCAATTACGGTTTTTACATTTCTGTATATTTTTAGGACAATAATATTTTATGATGAAATGTATATAGACAATAACTGTTTAGTGTCTTTAAATATCAGCTGTATTTGTACGAGGCTAAGAAAAACAGGTGTAATGCGAGCTTCAGCGAGCTATTACTCCTGTTTCGAGCCGAGTACAAATACAGCTGATATTTAAAGACACTAAACAGTTATTGTCTTTATCCTGCAATTAATTTTGTACATTTTTTTTCCATCCCAATTGTTGAATTTATTTTTGAAAGAAATCGACATGGCTTAACCCCAGACCGCAATGAGGACCCCAAATTGAACTGTGACGTAAACAGTAATTTGACATTACCTTTCGCTCGCAACAGAATCAAGATACCAGGAGACTATATACGTCTAGTATACGTATATCGCTTCGTGTTATCTGTACACCTGCATTAGTATAGTAGAAAGGTCGATTGCAGGATAAATACCTTTTTTGTTGTAGTATTTTAATTCTTTTTATTTTATTGTTGAATTAGCAGTATTATAATTAAGGGAACTTAATACCATGTGGCAGGGGTGCTCCGATAACGGAGGATTTTACAAAGGGAAGAAGAAGACCTAATCTATTGGTATTGGTATCGGATTCGACCCGGAACTTGTTACATTTTGGAAATATTAATTATGTGGAAAAGAAAAGGGCCTGAAATGGTGTAATTTTTAATCAACACCATTGTCCTATATTAGTTATATATAAAGTTGAATTCTTTGATTCGTTGTTTTTACGTCATGCCAGCTAACAAATTGGACCTCGTTATTTTAGTAGTATAGATTAATGAACCTCTGTTCTATCAACGAAATGGTTCGTTAGAATGGTTTGAATGTTTTCACTTCTTTACCTATTCTATTTCTAGTGTTTGTCTTTTTGTTGATTTTAAGCAATTGAAAATAAAATACTTCATATAGAACTAGACGTCTGGTTATTTTTAGAAGCACATGTATGTAGAATATTTAACGTTAATTTAAAAAAAGAGAAACTTCAGAGGAAATGAAATCATATGGGAAACATATTTTTTGAAAAAAATATATCATATGAAAAGTAAAATAACTAAAATACGGGCCAAACTCCAAGGAATATTCAAAACAGAAAGTCCCTTATCAAATGACAATATCAAAAGCTCAAACACATCAAACGAATAGAAAACAACTGTCATATTCCTGACTTGGTACAGGCAGTTCCTTATGTAGAAAATGGTGGATTAAACCTGGTTTTATAGCTAGCTAAATCTCACACTTGTATGAGAGTCGCATAGAATTCCATTATATTGATAACAATGTGTGAGCAAAAACAACCAGACATAAAAGGTAAAATTGTAAAAAATTGGGTACAGCAGTCAACATTGTGTGATAATCTAAATTACTATAAAAACATCTATATCAACGTCAGTACCGAGATTCTATACTTCAAGACCATCGTGTATTATTTGTGAAGTTGATACGGAATATTGATCAACAAGGTCTTGGTATCTTCAGATGAACTTTTTTTTAGAAAATTGACATGACCCTGGTTCATCAACTTTCTACTCAGACACTGGTGACGTTTTATAAAGTCTGAGTAGCAGCTACAAGCTATTGAATACAGAATTAGTTGGGAACTATATATTCACTATGAAGGTGAAATTGGTATATTGCTGTTAAGGTGGGGAGAACTTTATAATTTTATAATTAAAATCGTCTCGTTTGTCAGAGATTTTGGTACTGAGACGACCGCTTATGACAAATTCGAGGTATAAGTCTAAAAATGAGGCTGAGGAAGCTATGTCTATTATTTCTTTAATTCTAGTTCTGGAGGATATATTAATGGAAAACAATCAGAAAAGTTTGGATTTTGTATGGATAGAACATCATCAATATATCTGAATGTAAAATTAAATGATCTGGCTTCTTTAAATTCTTGTTTTTGACAAGTGTCTGAAGGAACACCGACTCACATGAAAATAAGAAGAGGGTATAAAGGGTTGAAAAATCAATGGTTTTGATAGAATTAGTTTTAGGGAAAGACCGAGATTTAGGATTACCAAGAAGTTCTTTACATTTTTTTTAGAATCCTCATATGGTTAATTCCACTACGCGAGTAAACAGTTTCACAGTATTTCTGAAGACCTTCTTTCACTGCGGACGGATTTTTTGTCAATCTAATGTTATATTCATTGAAGCCATGAAGGACTTATGATTCGCCAATATATCATCCGTGTCAAATATGTTTTTGTATTTGGGATTACCTGAGTGTTCATTTATTCCTAATTCTTTTACAAGACACTTGTAGTTGAACGATTTACAAACACAAACAATATCATTTGAAGCTTTGTCTTCAGGAACATATTTATCGTGAAGAGATGATAAACATTTCACAGATTCTTTTTCTTTGAATTCGGACTTTGGTCGATCATTTACACAGTTTTTCAATTTTCGGTTCGACGTTTTATCAGAGACCTGATTGCTTTAACCCATTCCGACAAAGTGTCCAGTTCAACTTCATCTCGTTTAGCCCATGTTCTGGCGTGGTCCCCAATGGAATCCATAATTGTTTTGAAGTTATGATTCTAATTGATGTGTTTGGGTTCTCTAAACTTAGAGTAATGAGATATCACCTTTCGGAGATGTTCATGTTAAATTATGTTTTGAATCACAGTAATAACAAGACCAGAGGGGCTGTAAATATAAGACGAGTTGGTGCAATGGTTTTGGTGTTACTGTAGGATACAATAGGAACAGACTGATTCTGAAAATAAAATGGAATTCTAGATGTTACCTCTTTATGATGAAGATCTTACTGGTTTAAAAAGACGGAAAAGAGCTACATCACAAATTATACTGACCAAGCTGTTTATTGGAGAAAATATATTTATATATCCCTTAAGCTTGCCAATGGCATAATCTGAAAGAGTTAAACGAATCAAGAGGAATTTGATGAGTGAAATGAAGCAATTAATTCCGATTTATTCAACAAAAAAAAACAACAACAACAACAACAACAAACGTCAACAATAAGACACTATAAAATTGCAGTAATCCCAGACATTTTCAAAGAGTTATGCAAAGGGTATACGTATAAGTAGACAGAACATACCATGGCGACAGTTTTAGTAAACCGACAACATAATGGCTAAAAATTAAAAAGAAAACATGAAATGACAGACAATTGTAACATATCATTACACAGAAAACTAGAGATTGAGTTACACCAACCCCACTACAAACTTTGAATGAACACATGTGGTTCGACAGGTATGTTGTAAAGGTTTCACATGTTAAACAGTTATGTTTGTTGATGTGGTTCATACGTGTTTCTCGTTTCTCGTTTTTTATATAGATTAGACCGTTGGTTTTTCTGTTTGAATGGTTTTACACTAGTCATTTTTGGGGCCCTTTATAGCTTGCTGTTCGGTGTGAGCCAAGGCTCCTTGTTGAAGGCCGTACTTTGACCTATGGAGAGTTGTCTCATTGGCACTCATACCACATCTTCTTTTATCTATGTAAGTCCGATTATACAAACATCTAATCATTCGGTAATTTCATACTCAAGAAAAAAAAAGGATTGGAGTTACGAGTTAAGTGAAACACATTCGTGGTCATCTGTGACAAAAATACTTCATAACAATCAACTAAATCATGATGGATGACTTAGATTTACCATTTGAAACTCTTGATTCAATATCTTTCATGTAAACAGTTACCCTCTATCAAGGCAGTCTTGTTATGAAACTGATTGATATATATATATATTCCACATGCACACCCTGGATGAATTTTGCTACATATAAAATGGAGAGTTCACAAATGAAAAATAAAAAACATGTCTTTTGTCGTTAAGTTTTGTTCTTAAAAGAGCCTCATTGTCAATTTTATATGTTGGTCAGAATTAAGGCTGATTTCACAGTATTATTCTGTGTTATCATTTATGTTCTTCAATAAGAATAGATGCAGTTTACTTAGTAACCAAGTAATGTTGAAGCAAAACTGTAATTACATCCCAGCTCCTTTGTTCTAACAGGGGTGATCTGAGTCGGATCACCCCTACGACTCAGATCACCCCTACCTGATCACCCTACCTTGAGTTTCTGTGTTCTGCATGCTTTCTTTTGTTCTGTAACATTTTGGCGGGAATGTCGAGCATACAGTAAAACTTAGAAATAATTAATCGAAATAAAGACTAATACAATTTTCAAAATTATGTAGTAAAAATCCACTAAATTTCCAGTTTCTAAGCGGGGATCGAACTAAAGACCTTTAGCATAAGAAACCACGATTCATACCCCTACACCGGGACGACTGGATACAAAATCACTGTTAATTTAACATATTTTAACGTTGTATCCGGGGCTCATAAAGGGTATATACTATATAGTTATATATAAAGTATATTATAATTATTGTACGGCATTCTGAACTAGATGTTATGAAGTGTATATGTTTTTTCATATAGTCTAGAAGAGCTGGGATGTAAAATAGTTATCTCACTCGGACTTGGTGTGTCAGTGTAAGATCCCCCTCCGGCCTCCGGCCGTCGGGGTTATCCTACACTTTCACACCGCGTCCTCATGGGATAACTATTACAGAATTGTACGACAAACAATGAGTTTAAAACTTTTCACTGCCATACTATTCATTCCTCGTTATTGTTTTCACAAACATCAAATGTATTGATCACCTACTTAACCGAATTGAGAACCATTATTAGAACATACTCACCCCTTCTCGTCCAATGAAAAGTCAGTTTTTTCCCTTCTAATTTTCATAGTACATGGCTTTCCATGCACTATAAAATGCTTTACATGAATGACTTTTCATTGTAGATTAATTAAGAAAGTGAACTCTTAATAACTACACTAACGAAGTGTACAATCCCCTGAGGCATTTTCCTTTGGAAAATAGCCTACTGATTAAAGATGAAAGAGAATAGAATTATAAAAAAAAACATTTTAAATTTTGCAAATGTTTATCATGGTACATATATAAATTAAAACAAAAAATGAAATGGGGGCAAAGATGAAGTTAAAATAATATTTTATTCAATTTTGATAGCAGTATAGAAAACAATGTCAGACTGCTGATATATAAAGCAAAGGATTTGTTTTCGAAAAAAAAACACAATACATGTACATTCATCATTAAAAGTAAGCATCTGATGTTGAATGGTAGTAATTCAAATATTTATAGAGTGAGTTTTTTAATTATCAAAAAATATACAAATTTCAAAAAGCTGATTTATATAATATTGTGTGCTTTTTAAAATCAAGAAATTTAAGGTATATAAGTATTACATTTTATCTGAAGCAGAAGAAAAACTCAATGTTTGAACAATTTATCCTTTTTGTCCTCACAAAACTTTGTCAGTGCTATTTCATTCCATCCATTGAAATGATCATTACCTATGTTATACATTCGTTTTGTTAGTATATGTAAGAGAATGATAATCCCTTTCTTCATGAATAAGTACGAGCGTTAGCGAGTACTTATCATGAAGTAAGGGATTATCATTGTCTTACAAACTTAGAATATTGTAACGTGCTCAAGGCTCAAATGATCTACTAGTATTCAAGAATTAGTTTCATTGTCAGTACAATGTTTATAATTGTTGCATGACTTCCTTTTTCGGCATGTCATTTATGGATAAGTTTTAGTGATGTGAGGACTTTCTTATCATTTGGGAAATATTTAAAAAAATAAATGCGTTAAAGATATAAGGTGACACAACAGTAGAAAGAAAAGGTAGGAATTGTATGTTTCCAGATTGTGAGTATGAATGTAAATCATGTAATATTTTAGTGAGGAATTATCCTTTTTTATTAACAGTTTAAATCAATTAATACATTTGAGTTACAACTAAATTTTATTTCACAGCCAATAAGATTTAGGTTATTTTTTATCTGAAAGAATTTTTTTTTTTGCATTGCTTTGGTATTGTTTAATTTTATAGTAATTTGAAGTTATTAATATTTTCATAATAAAATTCACGGTACCAATTTTACTGCACCAGTAAACTTCAACTTATTTTGAGATTTTTGTTTGTTTCACAATTCAACTTTTAGTCAGTTTCAATCACTGTGTGATAAATCCTTTCAATCTGATAAATGTGCTTCGGGGCAGTTGTAACTCATTTATAGAAACTCTTTGTTATGAACTGTAAATAGACATAAATGATAGGATAATCCCTTACTAAGAACATGATTTACATTCATTCTTCACAATTAAGAGGCATCCAATTCTACAATTTCATTGGTCAAGAGTACTTTCAAATTGCTATATTCTAAACCTAGTTAACACTTCATTACAAAAAGTGAATTCTTATTAAGGTTTGAATATTACAATGGGAAAGGATAATTTTGTAAGGTCACCCGAAAGTGTGAATATGTTCTAAATTGGTCAGACAATACTTGGTCATGTTTTATGAACATTTAAAACTCTCGGCTACGCCTTGGGCTTTAAATCTTCATAAAACATGACGAAGTATTGTCTAACCTTTACAGAATAAATTAAACTCTGATGACTTCATATTAACATATTATGTAAACAATTTACATTGTATATATTATATAACCACATGTCTATTGTTTTAGCCTTTATATTGTCCTTTAGATGTCTATATGTTTATTTCAATTCTTTGGTAGCAGTTTCAGGAACGTTTATCATATTGATTAGATATAGGGAGATGTGGTATGAGTTCCAATGAGGCAACTCTCCATCCAAGTTACAATTTATAAAAGTAAACCATTATAGGTCAAGGTACGGCCTTCAACACGGAGCATTGGCTCACACCGAACAGCAAGCTATAAAGGGCCCCAAAAAATTACTAGTGTAAAACCATTCAAACGGAAAAACCAACGGTCTAATCTATATAAAAACGAGAAACGAGAAGTATAGACAAACATCCCATGTGAAACGAGAAAATCATGTTTAATGACTTCTTTATTTTTATATACATGTATTAATAAGTGAATACAACATACAAGTATAACGTGTTACTGATGAGTAATGAAGCTATTAAAGTTCACAGATCATAAGGTTTTGTAATACAGTAATACACATAAGGAACCATTTCCCAAAATTTAGTTAGATATTTAGATAAGCTATGTACTTCAAGCAACAACAATGCATTAATTATTACCTAGCAAGCGAATATTAACAAATTAAACAACAATGCAGATAAAATGTGAGACGAATGACTTATTTTTCATTGTATATATAGCCCATATTCATACAGTACCAATATAATTCAAAAGTTTTGCTGTGGTCAACCTAAAAGATTTCTCTGAAAGATTCATTGAAAACCAGATAAATTTGATCAAATTTAAAAAAATTAGTTGTGGATATAATTTGTAGACGAGCGAGCAAACAAATGGACCAAACCACTTTCATGAAGCGGGGATGTTGACGTAAAATATGTATCGCCTCTTCTAAAAATACTGCTATTTGCTTTACTTACACTATTTCTTATATACTATATGTAGATTTCTTCATGCTTCTGGTGATTTAACTTTACTTACCGTTCTCGACGGAAAAATCCTCCTTTTCTTCAATTTTACTGTCCATTTTAAGAACTTTGTCTTTGGTTTTCTTCATTTCTACGAATATATGTAATTTTAAATGCTATATATCACTTATTCGTCTATATATAAAAACGTACATCCTGCCCCTCAAGTTAAACACACTAAATACTTGACATATTTAAATTTATCGTTCTTACGCGAAAAGTGACAGTTACTATGGCAAGCCATTCTCGTCAAAACTATGTTTAAACCATTTTTTCGAGAAAAATTACACACTGAGAATTAAAAAAATCCCACTGAGATGTAAGAACCTAAAATAACACACTGAGAAATCGAAATTACACACTGAGATTTAAAAAAAAAATGAAAATCACACACTGAGAATTTAAAATTACACACTGAGATTTTAAAAAAGACACATTGAGAAGAAAATAAATTGAAAAACACACACTGAGAATTGTTAATTACACAATGAGATTTCAAAAATACACACTGAGATTAATATGCAAATTACTAATGAATATTCACGAGATGAATAATTCAACAGATTAATATCTTGGTCTCCCGAACTCTTGTAATTATAATGAAATGCGGTTCCTACAACCAACATTCGTAATAAATTTCAAGACTTAACAACTTTTGTTTTGCTTGTTTGTTGCCTGTAATTCAGATTATTACTAACATCATATCGGGATTTATTGCTTAACACTGTTTAAGCATGGTCCCTTTTCAAAAGTCTTTTAACTGTTACCCTGATTTCGGTAATCTTTTATATTTTTGTTACGTTTATATGCTGTAATAGGCACTTGGGGGAAAAATCACTGCATTGTGTGTATTTTTGCAGATCGTTCCAATGTTTTCTTATAACTTTAATTAAATTTTTCACCATTTGGTTATATTTTGTAATGAGAGTAAGTGGGTATTTTTCTTGTTCTATAGGTCTTTAATAACAACGTAGTTTTTCTATACGTTGTATTTCTAATGTTTTTTTATAAAACATTTAGCGCCAAATTGAAGGACTAACGAGTTCTGTCCCCTAATTGTATTAAGCTTGTAATAGATTCAGATTAAGTATGCTAATTAGATATGTGCGCATAAAAAGTGCGCACAAATCTCAGTGTGTAATTTTAAATTCTCAGTGTGTAACTTCAAATTATCAGTGTGTGTTTTCAGTTTAATTCATCTCAGTGTGTCTTTTTGAAATCTTATTATGTAATTTTCAATTCTCAGTGTGTGTTTTTCATTTTTTGTAATCTCAGTGCGTTTTTATGAAATCTCAGTGTGTAATTTTTAATTCTCAGTGTGTGTTTTTAGGTTTTTTAATCTCAGTGTGTAAATTTTTTCGAAAAATGGTTTAAACAGTTTTGACGAGAACGACTTGCCATAAGTTACCAAATGTAATAGATACAATATATGTATTTAAGGAGATTTCCATTTTCTTGTCATGATAATTTATTCACATCCTTGAGTGTACAACAATAGTAAAAAAACTATCATATGTATCAAAACCACTTTTAATGTTAACTCGTGACAAGTTTTTCTGATATTGAATTATAACTTTGATGAATATCTTTTGTGGTGTTCAAATCCTTATTGCAAGTTATAAGCTAGGTTAATGTCATCATTGTATGCGTCTTTAATTCTGAGAATTGAAGAAGATATGTCCGGTTTATAAGTCAATGAGTCAGATATTTGACAAATCATTGTCAAAAGGAATGTTTTACTAAATTAAAGTTTAGATGGGTAAGGGTCGCAAAACCCGAACTTTGGGCCATCGTTGTAGGCCTTCCGTAACCATCTTGGAAATATAAAACAAAAACAATACTCTTCTTCTGATTTCTGTTCTCCAGTTCAAATCCAAAATTGTAAATAACACCAAAAAATAAATTCGGAATTTTACAATTTTGAAGTTAAAAGAGCTCTTTTAATGCAAACGAAGATATGTAAGTCGAATGTTCTGTTCTTGACGTTCCAAAATCGAGATGTTTTTAAAAGGCATTGCCGCATGTGGAATTTGATCTTTATGGTGGTTAAGTATGATCTATTTTGATAACTTCCTCATTATTATAAAGGCAAACAGTTTCAAATCAAAGAATATCAAAAAGGGAGAGGATTTACAAAAAAGACTGAAAAAGAGATGGCCGGCTGTCAAAAATATTATTGAATTATTAAAATTATATTGGCTTAAATTATATATTATATATTTATATCTAAATATACTAAATAAATAAATGAATTACGGAAATACGTTAAAGGTATCAAAAGTCATGAAATTTCCGAATGCATATACGTTAAATGAATAAAAGGTCATGACATAAAATTGAGAATGGAAATGGGGAATGTGTCAAAAAGACAACAACCCGACCAAAGAACAGAAAACAGCCCGAGGCCACCAATGGGTATTCAACACAGCGAGAAAATCCCGCACCCGGAGGCGGGTTTCAGCTAGCCCCAAAACAAAAATGTGTACTATATAGTTCAGTGAAAATGGACGCCAAACTAAACTCCGAAACATATAAATGAACTAAAATAAAAAAAAAACATACAAAACTAACAAAGGCCAGAGGCTCCTAACTTGGATAAGGCGCATAAATGCGGCTGGGTTTAAAATGTTTTGTGAGCTCTCAACCCTCCCCCTATACCTCTAGCCAATGTAGAATAAAGAACACACAGCAATACGCACAGTAAAACTCATTTCGAAAGAAGTCCGAGTCCGATGTCAGAAGAAACTAAGCAAAATGACAATAATACATAAATCAACAAAGGATTACTAGCAGTTACTGACATGCCAGTTCCAGACCTCAATTAAACTGATTGTGTCTTCATCATATGAAAAGCAAGCACAATCCCTCCCGTTAGAGGTATAGTATCATACCATCATAAAATATATGAGAAGAACATAACCCGTATCATGCCAACAACTTGTTTTAGAATAAATGCAGACACCCTATAAGTGAATCGATATCAATTCCAAAATATGCCATCTTTAATGACCTGACAACAGTATCGTAACTATATCCCTTCTGAACAAATTATAGATAATGCATATTTCAAGCTTTTTCTTGTTGTATAACACATTATGTGAAAAATATCGACATTTGATAAGTCTCATCTCATTATTAAACAGGGAAACTTGTCATACAGCTCATCTTTATTTGTCAACCTTGTCTCATACAACAAAGCTGAAAATAGCGCCCTACTGTAGCGGCTTATCCCTACCACTCTTTACGTAGGAAGTGAACCCCATTCCCACGGACACAAAAGTTGAAATGCATTCGCCTTATAATAATGTAAAATTGCCTTTTTGCATGTAATCAAGTATTCAAAACTATCAAATTGCTCTAAAATATTTGATAAGTCAAAGACGCATACAGTTAACAATTATGCCAGTTAAAATGACATTACCATGGAAAATTATGCGAGCGTAACCGTGTATATATTTTTTTAATCAACTACTTATTTTGGCCGTTTTATTCATTTTTACATATTGTCTTGCTGTCTGTTTATCCTATTTAAAGTTTTTTTTCCATCTACAATTGTCTAAGCAAAAGGCGCAAAAATGTGTAAAATATCGTCATTGAAGGCGACGGACAATTTCAGCCATGTGATTTATTTGAAGATCTAGCTGACCTTTTGGTGATGTTTAAAGGATTTAAATTATTTGACTTGTGTGTAGATCTTATTTTTACCTCAGAGAGTTATTCAAATGGTTCTCTAATGTGAAGAGAGCGATCTAATCTCGCTACACGAGGCATCGGATTTACGACATCTCCGTTTCGACCGGATGAGACTGCGTTTTATTCATCCGCAAAGCCAAACGGACGTCACTTTTCAGCAAGGGTTTACTGTCGGGTGGCAGAAGTCAAGATATGACAATATTTCTATACTCAAGTCACCCTTTGGGTTTGAATAAAAGGAGATAATGGTAAATATTAATGTAACAACAACCCAACGACACAGACAATCAAGACTTTTAGAGTCAACATGCAGTATTTCATAATAGAGAGATGCCTATACAAAATATCAAGCTAAAACCGCCCCATGCCTAAACAAAAGAAGGAGCTAATTATAATTTGATATTGTCTATCGTTGAAGATATCCCAACAGGCACAAAAATATTTTGTGTGGTTGAAACGTTTCACCATCCTTTTTTACATCGCGATGACCTTGAGGTCATCCCGATGTATTGCTATCGCCTAGATTTCCATTATGTAAATTAGTTTTGGGTTTGTAACCGATCTATAAACATGATAAATACGCGCACATAAACGAGTGCAAAATAACATTCCTTATCGTTTGATATAAATACATCTCTTCAATGAATACTGATAAAAATATTTTTGTTTACAACATAAATTAATAATATGAAAATGTTTTGTAGTTAGATATATATATATAAGTAAAAAATCATTGATAATATCAATGCACACGTACCGAAAAATGGTGTTAAAGCATGCGGAAGAATATCTCAAAGAACGTTTTGTGAAAATACCGCCAAGGACCGGTAACTCTGTAATTGATTTTGCGGGAAAATATGAATGCCTACTCGTATCCAATCTTAGAAAAATCGAATTTTTACAGAAAAGTGTCCACCATGCACTTGCATTGCACTATTTTTAGAATAGTAGAATAGAATGATATACAAATGGATTCAAATCATATATATATGTAACTGTTATTTTAATATAATATAAACAACAACTCAGTGTATACTGACTTGTATCACTACAATATAATAGTTATTACGGTGAAGTTGAATTTCCTGTCATTTATTCATCATCCACGCACGAACTTGTCTCAGAAAAAAATATATCTCTGTACATTAACCTCAGTTTTAGGTAAAGAGATATGTTGTTTTTTTCTGAGACAAGTGCTTTTGACCATCCTCAAGAACTTGTGGTCATCCGATGTTCAGTACTTCAGTACTTTGATTTTAATCTCAATCAGTGGAAATCAAAGGAGGTACAAGACAAATACTTCACTATATAGTAACGGCAGAGTAGATGATGATGGTGGATGGTTGTTTAACGTTCTACGAAAATTTAGTGCATGCATGTTCCGGACGAGAAGATGTAAATGTAATATATATATTGCACAAATTATACAAGGTAGGTCATAAACCGACCAACCGATAAAAGTGTCAATTCATTGTAGTTTCGGTGTACTCTATTACGCTAAAAAAAGTTTAATC